TACAGGTCAGGGAAATCAGGGAAAAGTTTGGAATTTTATGAAAAGTACTGGAAAAATAGCCAATTTCTACTGAATTCATGAAAAAAATTCCTAATTTTGTTGTTATAACTTCTAATAATTGAATAATTGAATTTACTTTAAATAAATTTATTCTTAAAAAACTATCAAAAAATTATTATTTATAAATTATTTTTGCGAATAATTTTATTTGAAAATTGAAAAAATATTTGAATTTCAAAAAGTTTCGCTTTCAATTTTTATAAATAATATGAATATAACTAGCAAAATTTATCTTCAACTTTAATTTTTAAATCATTTCAGATTCAGAATTTGAAAAATTTAACTTTAATAAAATTCTTCACAAATATAGATTCAAAGTATTTCCAAAATTTAACAAAATTCTTACCAAAGAGATTCAACTATTTTCAATAAAATTTTAATAAAATTTCTCAAAAGAATTTAATTATTTTTAATAAAAATTTGTCGATAAAATTTACAAAAATTCAATTATTTTCATTATTTTCATTCATGAGAAGAATTTTTTTATAATATGTAGGTACATATAAAAAAAAATTCTTCTCATGAATTCAATTACTTTCAATATAATTTTTGTAAAATTTCTCGAAAGAATTCAATTATTCTCAATGCAAATTTTAATTGAATTCCTCAAAAAAATTTAATTATTTTCACAAAATTTTCAGAAAACTCTTCAAAACAATTAAATTATTTTTAATACAATTTTAATTAAATTCATCAAAATAAATTTGCAAGAATTCAATTATTTTCATACACATAATTTTAGTAAAATTACTCGAAAGAATTCAATTATTTTCAAAAAAAATGTAATAAAATTCTTCGCAAGGAGATTCAATTATTTTCAATAGGTACAATTTATTACATAATAAAATTTCTCGAAAAAATTCAATTATTTAAAAAAGATTTTTATACCATTCTATATAAGAATTCAATTATTCTCAATACAAATTTTTAATAATATGATTCCTTAAAAGAATTTAATTATTTTCACAAAATTTCTGTAAAATTTTTCGAAAACACTTAAATTATTTTCAAAAAATTTAATAAAATTCTAGGCAAAAATTAAATTATTTCAGACTCAAAATTATAAAAAGTTACAAAAATTATAAAAAGCAATATAAAAAATAATTTAAAAATTATCGGAAATGTTATCTTTCAATATAGATAAAATAATAAATTATAATAAATTATAAAATAATAAATTAATTTCTAAAAATTTTTGCAAAAATATTATCACAAAACTTTTTTTCTAAATTTGAATTAGTAAAAATTTGAACTAATTAGAACAAAAGAGATATGAATTTTTTAAAATTAATTTTTTAATTCTATATAAAGATAAAAATAAATAAAATTCTGTTTTTCTTAGAAAAAAAATTTTTAAAAAACCTTTTTTTGTATTATTATGGTTTTTCTATAATACTTTTTAAATTTTAAGTAACTATTTTTATATTTTAGAATATTAAATTTTAAAAAGCTGTTGATGTTCCAAATTACAATTATAAATATTAAAAAATAAATGCATTGCAAACATTTTTTAGTTATCTATTTATTTTTAGAGTGAATTAAAGTATTCTACTTATTAATATGTATACTTATTATGAATACAGATTTTAAAAATTTAAAAACTCTGTGCATTTGGAATTATAAAGGAGAAATTAAGCGACTGGGAATAAAAATAGAAAATCCAATGACGATCTTATAACGATTTAATGAAATTTCTACAGTTTAATAATTTTTCGTATTTCCGTTTTCCTTACAATTAGTTTACTTTAACTAGTTATAAGATTTTTCTAAATATAAATATCATATACACATCTACTCTTACACTGAGAGACCTTTGGGTCAGCAGCAGACTTTCGATAGGCTGCTACTGACCATTTTGGAGGAACGCTACAGGACTATACTTTTGGGTTGCTGCGGTAAAATCAACCAACATTTTTGGGACTGTCACGCGCCCAAAATTTTACCGCAGCGCACCAAAACCACAGTGGAACTGCTGTCACATACGTTGTTCCGCTACAGTCCCAAAGGTCTCTCAGTGTATACGAAACACAAATCTTTATTTTAAATAATATATACTTTTTTCATTCTTATATAAATACGTATTTTGCATTTCACATTCATACAAAGGTACTTTTTTCAAATACGCACATAATTTCGTTTCGTTTTTACTTTGAGAAATATTTTTCAGAAAACAAATTTTTAACAAAAAATTTCCATTTTTTGAAAAAAGAAAAATTTGTGTCAAGTGGAGGCGTTAAAAAATAAATGTAAAAACAATTGAAATAATACAAAGGGATCGTAAAATTGTATTTTTTTGCACTGCTTATAATTATTAATTAGTAAAAGTGCTTTGCAAGAACGATGAACACGTATACAATAGCTCTGTTTATTTTTACAGTCAGAAACGGCAGTAATAATAGAAGTTTTTTTTACAATACAGGAGTTTTTTTTATTTTTTTTAACAAGAGATTTTTTCCATTCGGGGTCAACGGAGTAAAATAAAGACACACATACACACTTACACAAAATTGGCACTTCTTGAACTGAAAATAAAATTCAAATTGATTTTTGAAATTAATAGGTAATTAATATTGAACAAAATTATCTATCTCTTTGATATGTTTACAAGGGAAGATTTGTAATTTAAACATTTATGCTATTTAAATTTAATTAGTTTTCTATATATATAAATTAAAAGTAAACTCGTTTTATTAACACATTTATTATCATATATTGATTGTTTGCTTCTTATATCGTTTCTTGATATAAAATATTTTTAAAATATTATTTATACTTGGTAAAATACACTGAGAAAAAGTGATAACCAATCATTCGAAACTATAAAAGAAATTTCACTATTGGTACAATTATTCTAACCTGATTTTGAATATCAATTTATTTAGTATAAAAATTAATTCTAAGACTGAAGATAAATCTATAAAATTGGAGACCATAAAAATAACAAATTAAAGTCAATTTAAAATTCAAATTCATTTATAATTTATATTAATTGATAGCTCTTTAGATTCTGATAATAAATAATTGTTGAATTAAGAAAATCCTGAAATTCAATATGAAGACGCTATTCTCCACCTACGAACGCCAAGGTCACTGCTAGATGGCAGTTTCAGTTGATAAAGTCAGACGCCACCTAGTGATGACCTTGGAGTTCTCAAGTGGAGAAATTAATCCGCCATTTTATCCCTCGAAAAATTCTTTTTAATTAATAATGTCCTGACCATATTTTCGTAATTATTTTCAATAATATTAAAATTACAAAAAAATTAATTGAAATATAAATAAATTAAAATTTTTTTAATAAATTGAAAGTAAAATAAAACAATTTAATATTAAAATAAGAAAAAGTAAATTAAAATTAAAAGAAATAGAAATTAAATTGCTTAGAAATAATTATTCAGATTGTAGTATAACTTTTTTCTCAGTGACTAAACATTTTTCTCTAAATAATACTCTAATTTATTTACAATAAACATAAAAAAGGAAAATTTACAACAAGCACCCTGAAATCGTTTGCTCTTTGAAAATGACATAATGTCGATTTTCAATTTTCTTAAGAAATCCGAACGAATATATATATATATCTTTTTCATGCTGCTCTTTATATTTTTCCCTTCGCTTATTTCTGGTTTTAATATATATGTCAATCGGAAGAATATAGCTCTGTTTGTTATTGCAGGTAAACATGCATTTTATTTCACTGAATTACTGTAATAAAATGTTTCATTTTCGATTTCAAAATCGAAACTTCACTTTATAAAAATATAAAGTATAGAATTTTGTGAAACCATATTAATTTTGCTTTTCTGAAATTTATACACTGAGAAAAAATATTTATTTCATTGAAATAACCGATTATTTATTGTGTATTGTCAAAGAAATATCTACTTGAATCAAATAATTTTTATTTAAAACAAATAAATTTTATAAACAAATTAATTCTGTATTTGAAGCAAATAGTATTTAATTGGCTCAAATAAAAACTTTTTGAGTAAAATAAATATTTAATTCAGTGAAATTAAAATTATTTCAGGCAAATAAATATTTAAGTGAATCAAATAAAAATTATTTGTGTCAAATAAACATTATTTGAGTCAAATAAATATTTAATTGACAATAGTCCAGTAAACGGTTATACCTATTTGATTCAAAATAAATTTTTTTTCAGTGTATCCAATATACAGTTTTATTAAACAAAAAACTTTGTAGATATGTTTTTATTTCTAATATCAATGAAAATTGATATTCGAAATTTAACTTTTTACTATAGTAAATTTTTATTATAATATTATTTCTCAATTTTTACAAATTATTTTCCAATCATTTTTTTCTGAATTTTTTTTCTCTAAGTTTTCGAATTGACTTGAAATTTTATACACGTTCTTTTCTAAAACTAAATCAGTGGAATTTGACTTATTTTCAATATAAAAAATTAGTCATAGTGGAAAATTACAAATATTTAAAAATAAAAATTTTTAATTATTTTTAACAAATTTTCTGTCAAATTTTATTGATTAAAATTCTGACCTAAAAGTTTTAAACTCTCAAATAAAAGAAATATTTTTTATTACAATCAATATTTTCACACAGTTTTTCTAAGGATTACAAATTGAGACAAAAACCGTATCAAAATAGTTGCATGACAACTATTTTGATCCTTAGAAAATACATAGAAAAACTTTGTAAAATTATTGATTGTAATAAAAATTAAAAACTTAAATTTAACATTTAGAAAATTCACAATTAATTCTTTCATTCGTAAGCAAAAATCATGGCTAAAAAATTTTAATCCACAAAAGAAATAAACAAATTTTTTTCATTTTCACGTTTAAAACTTATGAAATATTTAAATATATATTATATATTTTAATATTTAAATTTAAATAAAAATTTAAATATTGAAATTTGAAAGTAATTACTAAAAATCAGTCAAGTTTCACTGATTCAGATTTAAGGAGTTGTTTGTATTTTTAATTGTTTCTAGAATTTGTTTGCTTTCAATTTTGTAACTAGAAATAATTATTTTCAATAAATTCTTCTAATTTTTGCGTTTAAAAAAGCAAGAAAAAGAATACTCACGTCTAAACGAGTCACAGCCTCCCATTTTTATGTATTCTTATTCATATACAGTACTCTCTTAAATTTGAATCAGTTAAAAATCAAAATTTTAACTGAAAATCAGTGACTGACTTTTTGCTTCTAAATCAGTTATTTTTTTAACTGATTTCCAATAAAAATAACTGGAAAATTAGTTAAACTTGACTAATAATTACTATTTAAATAAATAACTGACTTTCTGCTTCTAAATCAGTTATTTTGAACTGATATTCAAATTTAGAGAGTATAATTCTTTGACTATTTCAGTAGATTTTGTCACGACACTTACACGTAGCGCGACAAAATTGCTGTCGCTTCAAACCCTGTTCGGTGTCGCTGCGACAAAGCCAATCGGGCAGGCTTTCGTAGAGTTGACGGCAATTCGCCCAAAGATCGGCCCATGGACAGGCATTTTTGCAGAGTTTACCAATGCGACAGTGGTGCTTGCAACCGCTGCAAGACGCTCCAGCTGTGTAGGGTGTGCTTAGACTGTCGGCGTAATTGCCTCTGAAAAATTAACAAATTCATATTTAACACCAATTCATATTTATAAAGTCAAAATTAGAAACAATTTATTTTCAAAACGAAAGAAAGGACAAATTTTTATACTTTGCATATTAGTAGTGAAGTGTTAAAATAACACCAGAATGGATTAAAATAATCTGCAACAGTTTAATCCCTCTAGGATTAAATTAACACCAGAAAGGATTAAAATAATCTATTTTGGTGTTATTTTTAACAATGAATGAAATTTTACTGTTTAAATAAAACACCAAAGTCAACGATTTGTAAAAATTCAACGAATTTAGCTTCTCCAGGAAGAATAGTAAGTTATAGTTACTAACTTACTAACTAACTTAGTAACATAGTTACTAAATTCAATTGCGTGTTCAAAAATTTTTAAAAATTCTCGTCAAAATTTCAATTCTCTTTATAAATAATCAAATTCTTCTCTGATATTCAATTATTTTACAAAATTTTAATCAAATTCTTGTCAACATTTCAATTATTTTCAAAAGTTTTCTAAAATTCAATGATTTTCAATATCTACTATTTCAATAAAATTTTCCTAAAGAATGCCATTATTAAAAAATTTTTTAATAAAATTCTACGCCAACATTCAATTATTTTCATTAATAATAGAAACTTTTACAGGAATTCAATTATTTACAACTTTGTTTATAAATTTTTTCGCAATAATTCAATTATTTTCATAAATAATAACATTTTTACAGGGATTCAATTATTTTTATAAATAATAAAATTCTTTTAGGAATTCAATTATTTTCATAAATAATAAAACTCATTGCAGAATTTCAATTATTTTTAATGCAATTGTAATCGAATTCCTCGAAAAATGTGATTATTGTTAAAAATTTTATTAAAATTCGTCTAAAGAATTTAATGATTTAAAAAACTTGTTAATAACCTTTTTTATGAGAATTTAATTTCAAGAAACATGAAATTAATAAATTATTTATTTTTGTATTTAAATAATTGAATTCTCGTAGAATTTACTAATAAAAATGGTTTTAAAAATGAATTTCAGTTAAAATTTTAGATTACAATTAAATATTAAAAGCATTGTAACGTGGATTTTTAGAAATAATTAAATTTTGAAAAAGTTTCAAACTAAAATCATTTAAATTCTTAATTTTTCATATTTTTGACAACAAATTCTGTAGAATTAATTCTTTTTAAAAGTTTAATAGGATTTTTATTAGAATTATTTCAAGTTTTTATTTTTCAATATATATTTAATTGCAGAATTTCCGAATAATTGAAATTTTGTAAAATTGAATTGTAAACAAATGAATTTGATAATTCTCAAAGAACTTTTTTAAAAATTATTAAAAATAATGGATTCATTGAAGAATTTTAGTTAAAAACACTAGAAAAAAATTTAATTTTAGAAAAGTTACAAATTATTGCAGAAATTCAATTATTTTCAAGAGTAATAAAATTCTTCTTAGGGATTCAATTATTTTCACTAATAAAATAAAACTCATCGCAGCGTTTCAATTATTTTTCATACAATTATAATTGAATTCCTTGAAAAAAGTAATTATGTTCATGCAAGTTTTAATAAAATTCGACAAAATAATTCAATTATTTAAAAATTTGTTAATAAAATTCTTAATGAGAATTGAATTTTGAGAAACATTCAATTATTCAATAAATTATTTGCTTTTGCATTTAAATAATTGAATTCTTGTAGAATTTTCTAATATAAATTGATTTTAATTTCATAAAAATGAATTTCAGTTAAAATTTTAGATTATAATAAATTGAATATTAAAAGCAATATAGCGTGAATTTTTAAAAATAATTGAATTTTGAAATTAGTTTTTTTGAAAAAGTTTAATTGAATTTTCTTTTATATTATTTGAAGTTTTTATTTTCTAATATGTATTTAATTAAAGAATTTAGAAATAATTGAAATCTTGTGAAATGGAATATTTTAAACAAATGGATTTGAAAATTGCCAAAGAACTTTTTCGAAAATTATTAAAAATAATTGATATAAAGTAAAATTGTAGTTAAAAATTTTTGAAAATAATAATTGAATTGAAATGATGAAAAAAAATTAAAAAAAAAAAAATCGATCACTTCGAGTCGAAGACTCGGAGTTATCGATATCTTCATGTTTTATAGTTATAAAAAAATTTAATAAACTAAAATTTCATTCATTGTAAAAAATAACACCAAATTTGATTTTTTTAAATCTTTTTTGCTGTTAATTTAATCTGCAACACTTTTCAATACCTCACGATTTACTGTGTATCAATTGTGGAAATGATTTTCATTCAGACAAGAAAATTATGAATTTACATAAATAATTCGAATATCAGTAGTAAAAGTCCTTGAAAATGCTTGACTTTTGGATTGGACAAAATTTCTAGACTATATCATATACTTTTTGTTAGAAAATATAACAAAATCAAGGAAATAATAAAAAAAAGTCCTAAAATTATTCTTGTACTAGTATGGCAACAGTGTTTTTAAATTTTAATTTAATTTAGAGCATGCACAGTGTGCGTTGGCGTTGCGCGATTTTACGCAAGATAAATGCTAGTTGATTATCTGTTTCCATTTGTGTTAGTTTTAAATGAGAATATTCTATTATTTTATGAAAAACAAATAGTGTAGATGTATATTTGTCTTCAAGAATTGACTTTCAAAAAAATATTTTTTATTTTATGTTTCTCACAAGACAGAATGTTATATATTACTGATTTTTCAGTGAAATAGCTTGTCTCACAAGTTGTGAAAAATTTCACCATGTAGTATATAAGAACAATTCGATTCGTACTTTTAAGTGTTAAGTGTGGTAAAATTGGTTTTCAGTCAGAGAAGAATATCCCAAATTTTATTAAAGGGCAATTTACTCTAGGCATTAGAATCTTCTATAGAATTTCGTATAACTAGTAAAATGGATTAGCAATCAGACAAAAGTATTCCAAATTTTAATATTTTGAAAATCAGTAGTAGTAGTCAGTGTATATCAGACATTTGGATCTTTTGTTTTTTTTGTATTAGTAGTGAAGTTAATATTGTTAGTCAGACCAAAATTTAAAAAATTTTAATTCTCTGAATGTCAGTAGAAATATTATTCGACATCAGTAGTATATATAAGCAACTTCAGAGGTCAGAAATTGTAATCTTTTGTAGAGTTTTGTATTAGTAGTGAAGTTAATTTTCTGTCAGACAAGAATATTCCGAGTTTCAATATCTTGATATCAGTAGTAAAGATTAGGTTCTGTCAGACAAGAATATTTCGAATATAAGTAGTAGAAGTTAGTTTATGTCAGACATTGGAAACTTGTGGTTTTTCATATCAGTGGTGTAAGCGTAAATTTATGTCAGACATGAAATTCTTCTATAGAGTTTCGTGTTAGTAGTAAAGTCGATTGGCGGTCAGACAGGAGTAAACCACATTTATTCTGTATTTACAATAATTTTTGGTAAAAAGAAACAAAAATATTTCAAGCAGTCTTTTACTAGTAATTTATCAGTACAAATATTATATTGAAAATTGAAAAAAAAATTCGGCTTCAGAAATAAAAAAATAGTATAAGTTATAATTGTCGTAGTAAAACATGAAAACAAATATTCTCAGACCAACTGCGTACCGAATACATACATATATGAACAAGTTGAGAGAGCATGTTAACCGTAACACTGAAAGCTCACGAGAGTAATACAGGAGAATAGCATCGATTAATATCAATGTCATTCACAAATATTTGATATTATTCTGCACAATTTCTAACGCATATTCTGGGCAAATATACATTCTGTGTTTAATGGAATATATTGCAATACAATCAGCTTATAGTTTATGTACAACATACACATAAACATAGACATAATACACACGAATGCACATAAGCCGAGAATCTATAAACGCACTTATCTATCAAATCTGTATATAAAATCTACACCCGAAAATGAGTAATCTTCATTTTAGTCGATTCCTCTAATTTTAATTTAAATATGAAAAAGATAAATTAACGCCAAAAGCTAAAAATATAAGATTAAATCTTTTCTGTTTGACTAAACTAGGAGTTTATTACTAACAAATTTATCAAGAATTTTAGAATTAATTGTTCGACTAGAATTGTCTTGTAATACTGACGTGACGTTCGGTAAAAATTATGTCTTACTTCAAGTGCCTTTTAAAAAGAAATTCTCAATTACCTACTGTCTGATCCTAACAGACCTTTACTACTGATTTCCTAGAATTCGATAAAAATTAAGTCTGTTGCCAAAACTAATAGGTTTTTTTTCGTTACCCGGTTTTTCCTAATTTTTTTCTTAATTTCATTTTAATTTTTAATTTACACTGAAAAAAATCATTTGATTCATATAATCAAATATTTGTCCATTATCAAATAAATATTTACTTGATTCAAATAATTTTTATTTAATTCAAATAATAAATCATATTTAAACAAGTAATTTCAGTATTTAATGCAAATACAATTTAATTGACTCAAATCAAAATTATTCGATACAAAAATAAATATTTATTTGATAGTAAATAAGAAATCGTTTATTTGAATCAAATAATTTTTTTTCTGTATAAATTTTCTACTAAAATTCTAGTGCAAAGAGGTACGAGAAATTAGTACAGAAATGTTAATTAATTTCAATTAGTGGACGATTGTTCACTAATTCAGATTTGAAGATATGCAAAATTCCTTAAAAAATTGTGTCATAAAATTTAAGAAAAAGTTTATGAAACAGTTTTTAGCTTTCCGAAAGCTAAAACCCTCTAAGATCAAATCATTTCTGTCTGACTAAATTAGGAGTTTACTAAAGAAAATTTATCATGAATTTTAGAATTAATTGTTTTACTAGAATAGTCTTGTAATACTGATGTGACGTTCGGTAAAAATTATATACAATAATTGCCTGTTACAAAAAAATTCTCAATTACCTATTTTGTCTGACTAAATAGATTTTTACTACTGATTTTCAATATATAAAGCACGTTTACAAAC